CGGTGGCAGGGTGCCCCGCGTGCACCCCGCAGAGCTGGGAGCAGACCCGCGGGCCGTCGGGGGCGCGGCGGCCCGCCCGAGCCCACACCTGTCCGGCCGCGGTGGCCGGGAGCCCGAGTGGCGCCGCAGTCAGTGGCATCAAAGGCAGCGAGGGAGGGAAGAGCCCGCGGAGGCGAGGCCCGCGCTCCGGAGGAAGCCGCGCCTGGCTGGAGGCCCCAGACCCTGCTCCCCGAGCTCCACCGCACCATGGCCCCGAAGCTGCTCCTCCTCCTCTGTCTGTTCTCGGGTTTGCACGCCCGGTAAGTGGCGCCCGGGCCCTGCAGCCCTGGAGGCTCCGAGCGGGACGGGAAGGCGGCGGGGGGCGCTGTCTGCCGGCCAGGAGTCCCGGTGCGTCCCGCCGTCGGCTGGGCTGCGGCATAGCCCCTTTGGGGCCGGCCCGGGGGAGACGGAGTCCGCCTGCATCTCACCTGTCCCAGTCTCCCCTTTGACAGGGCTATCTGCCTCTCCAGGCTGGGCGGCTGCAGCCTTCTCTGCAACCAGGAGTGTGGGGACTCTGAGATTAATGGGGCTCTTCTCTTGAAGCTTTTCGGATATGGTGGTTTTAAGGGGTTTTGAAAACCACTATCATAAATGACCGGCGGTGTGTACCTCCCATTTACCCCTCTCTACAAGTGTTCCAGGGGTTCATACAAACACATTGACTGACGTTCTGTATAATTTCCATCACTCTGAAATTTCCCAGGACTAAGAAGTCATGATTTCCTAAGCTGCCTAGTTTAGATCACACTGGCAAAGAACATCCAGGCTGGAGGCAGGCAGAAGAGGATTGGAGCAAGGGAAAGAACCCTTCTTCTCAGAAATGATTCTCCTCTCCAGGTTCTGCAAACACATACTATACACATGCACCCCTTCTAGATGAGCCAGTTTTCACATACACAGACATACACACTTACTCCCATAAAGCATGTTGATAATTGATAATAAGGCTTTTCCTGGCAACTGTAAGACATTATCTTACCATAAATACCCATAACCTGCATCCTAGAATAGCAACCAAATAATGGGAGTTTAGAGACCTCCAGGAAAGGATGAAGATGGCTCATGAGCGTGGAAGGACGATGGGACCAGAGTGGTTAAACCCTGTTGCTGTAAATATAACAGGATATTCTGGGTTTGGTTTCTTTAGTTCTGTCTCCTAGACTAGATCTCTGGCCCAGACTTTGGAAATCAGAGCAGCTCCATGCCTCTCCCCCTATCCCCATCCCAAGAATCTGGGGACACCCACTTCCCCAAAACACTCTTGTTTTGACACCTCTTTTTTTTCTGTATCTGGAAGCTAGAGAACTAGAGAGCCTTCCTATGGGCAGTAAGCGCTGCAAGTGTCAGTAGACTATGACAGGCTTACATTTTCATTCATGTGAGGAAGGAAGGAAGGAGGTACATTAACAAATCTTAAAAGACGTAATAGGAGTCCCAGTCTCACTCCCCACCTTTGGCAGGGGTGTTTGGCTCTGAAGAAGAAAGCCCTGGCCATCCCCTCCATACCATTATCCCCACTAAGAGGTGAAAGTGTGAAAGGCAGATAGTGTGCCAGAGACTGTCAACTGGTGACTCACAGGCAGCTCTCTCCACCAGGCATAGTACTCATTGGGCCTTTCAACTCCAGTTTCTTCCCGTCTAAGGAGAGAACTGGGGAAGGAAATGGAAGCCCACTTTCTGAAATTGATTCCACCTGGATGTATCTCTGTCTAGAGCCAGAGAGACCAGCAGATAGCACCAGGCATAATGTAGAATTCTGAAGTATATAATCCAGATTTGAAGTTATATCCACATGATCTTTTCTGTTGCCACAAACTGGATGAAGTGACCTATATTTCAGAATTAGATCATTAATTACAGATACTTTAGATTTATAGATACTTAATATGCTAAAAGGAAAACTGCTCATTGTCTTCATTAGTTTATGTGCTTAGGAAGTAGGAAGATGTCTTAGTATCTAACATGAAGCAGTCAGGTTTCTAGGGAATTCCCAAATACATGTCTAATTTCTTGGGATTCTTCATACTTAAATTTAACCAAGGCACATGTAATGATTTTAATATGTTCTATATCTTGGTTCATTCCCTGGACTTCAAAATAGAGGTTGTATATCAGTTGCAAGAAAATCCAAATTTTAAACTAATTATATTGCTATACGCCTCTCCTTTGAAAGTGTCTTCATTCTTTGAATGGGTTTTACAGACATGTAAAATAATCTGATGACCAGTGTCATCTTTCATAACTTTTATTAATGCTGAGAGGGTTCTTGTTTGCACTCTGGAATGCCCTTCTGGTGTTCAAAATCCCTGGAAAATGTTCTAACAGTGTGCTCTGTGGTGATGGTTTGGCAACTCCATGGAGAGAAAAGCACCCTGTTCAGACACCCCATGGATGTGCTTATTATGCATTAGAACACACTAAGTCATGCCTGGAGCTTGGTGATACCTTGCAGACACTTAACTGATTTCTGAGGTTTAGGAGCTCCTTTTAATATTTAAAAACACTTCAGACTTTGTCCTTCTAGTCAAAGAGAAGGTGTAAGATGTGAAAATAACATCTAAAAATGACGATACATTGCTGGTTTGTTTTTAAGAAAAAGCTAATTGCAGTTATAGTATTTAGGATCCAAAATCCTGATAACAGAACACTCGTAAAGATTATATATAACCCACTTAGAAAAGCAGATCATTCGTGTTTTATTCACATTCTAGTGGGTCCTCTGAGATGAGATTTGGTTTTCATCAAAGGGAAGATTTTCCTGTGGGGCTGGTGGTCTGACATCAGCACTGTGAGGCTTTTATTTCATTCTCTGAAGTCCTGCAGCAAACTGACGGAAGATCAGAATTGGGAAAAGCTCAGTGTCAGTCTCTAAGGAGACAAGGGGATCTCTGCCCATGCTTTGCAACTGTGTACCCCAGCCCAGCCATCAAGCTGTAGGTCCTGGTTGACCTCCTAAAGGGGTGGGAGAGGATGCTGCTGCTTTTCCTTCCTCCTCTCTCCCACTCTCACCTGCCTTGGCCTCTAAGGAAGACGCTTATGCAATTTCAGGAAAACCCTCTCCTCACCACTAGAGGGAGAATTAGGCTCATTATAATACCTGCATTTCAAGTAGTTAAAAGAATTTTTCAGAAACGAAGGCTGTGTATATATAGAGAACTGATGAAGAGTTAATGTTCTCAATCTATGTACATATGACCATTGGGGCAATAAAAAATAGCAGAGCACGAAAAGCATAGTCTGGTCTGTGGAGTGAGCTGTCTTTGGGGGTGGGGGAGGGGACTTCAGGAGAGGGGTAAGAGAGAAAGGGATGGGAGGCAAAGAGAAGAGAGAAGAGAGAGAAAGAGGCAGAGAGACAACAGAGGGATAGAGGAAAGGACTGTGGCTGAGTTGGAACATGTCTTGAGAATGTTATATGTGATTCTGCCAAGGTGATCTGTCCCTCTGTCCCCAGTCTCCCAAATGGTTTTGCTGTGGAATGAATTGCCAGGTCCTGTGGGCAATGATTGCTTCTAGCTAACCAAGTCCTACAGAGCCTGCTTCAGCCTCTCTTTTTTTTTTTTCCCCCAACATGATATTCCTGACAATATTTCTGATAAAATATTCTACAGTGACATTTTAAATTCTATATTGTTATTTGTAAAAGTTGTTTTACAAATAATGAAATGCAACATGTCACTTCTTGAATGTGTCCCAAATTTGTTAAGTTCTTATTGATGGTGAATGTTAAGTGCAAATAAAAGCTCCCAGCAATTTATAGTTTCTATGGATGATTTATTTTAACCTTCTAGACGATACATATTCAAGAAATATAATTACAGTTTAAGATAAGCCTAGGAAAAACTTCAGTGAAATCAATCTGCCAGACATATACCATGTACTCATTTTCAAAATCTTATATAAATGTGTATAGTCATCTGAGACTAGACTATGTGATACTGCCCTAATCTAGGTTAAGGCTAGTTAATACTCATAAAAAGACTATAATGTATATAATATATGACATATATGTATGATTACATATTACATAAAATTATATAAACTATTATACTATAGATATAATTATGTGATTATAATATAATATTATATATATGATTATGAGGATTTAAACAAAGTAGAGATAATAAATTTTTGAAAATTTACTCTCTTCATTTCTTTCATGTTCATTGTAGATAATTTAGACAATTCCAAAATTTAACTTAAACTTGTGTCCCAGAGCACAGTTGCCCTGGGATAATGTTAACATTTTGGCTTCTCTCTGGGAAGCTAAACAGAAATGAGCTGATACAAAGTCAGGACAAATAAACCTCAATACAATTTTCTATTCCATATTTTGTTCTCTTTGGTGAAAAGTCACTAAGGCATTTATGTTGACAGAGTATAAGCAAAACTGTTTGTTGTTTTACAGGCTTTTTTTTTTTTTTTTTTTTTTGCCCTAGTAAATGCAGTCCACCTGGAAATGCTGCTTTGATGCAGAAGGAGACTCTCCTCTTTTCAAGCCCAAAAGGCTGTGCTGTTCAGGTGGCCTCACTCAGCTAAGAAAACTAACTTGTCATTTTGATGCCTCTCCATTCAAGTACTCCTGTCAGTGTGTATCACCCAGGAGAGGTAGCTGTCATGTTGCATGAGACAAGCTCAAAGGTGCTCAAACATTCATTTTGATCCATTTATTGAGGGGCCAAATGATTAAGACATATTAGAAATATTTTAATTTTTATTTTTTTTTTTAATTTTTTTTTTAATTTTTTTTTTCAACGTTTATTTATTTTTGGGAGAGAGAGAGACAGAGCATGAACGGGGGAGGGGCAGAGAGAGAGGGAGACACAGAATCGGAAACAGGCTCCAGGCTCTGAGCCATCAGCCCAGAGCCCGACGCGGGGCTCGAACTCACGGACCGCGAGATCGTGACCTGGCTGAAGTAGGACACTTAACCGACTGCGCCACCCAGGCGCCCCAAAATATTTTAATTTTTAATGTCTGTATTAGCCTGCTCCGTAAGAAATGAATCAGTTTGTGTTGGAGGAGGCATGTCAACTTGCCAGAAGTTATTCACCAAACACCATCTCTGTTCCCTGTCACCACACATTAGTGCTGGACAAACAGACCACCTGATAATGTGCCCATGTCTACCTTGACCGAAGGTTCCAGTCTCCTTAAGAAGAACAGAATTCAGACTTAACTATTTTTCAGTGAGTGTGATTCTGCAAAACCTATTCTCACCTTCAACTAAAATGAGGTCTTGGCAGTAGGGGGTGGAAACAGCATGTAAAGTCACCATCTGACAAACATCTGGAAGGTTTGTGTTTTGACCTTCAGAGGTTTTCAAGGTGGATCCAAGCAAGGGTGATTGCTGTTTGGCTGACCTTCTGGCATTGATTTACTTAACAGTCTATAGTTTAACGTACACAAGGAATAATTTTGTGACATTTAATGAAAACATCATGACATGTTAAGAGCAGTGGCATTCATCCAATTGGATTATTTCTAAAATGAGTTTTGTTTTGTTTTCATTTTAGATGTAACCCATTGATTGGGCTGTGAGTATTGGGGACTTTCTACCTATGTCGATGGTGCTTGAGTGGGCCAAGCTTAAGACACTTCCTGGAGCTATTGCTACAACTTATACTTCACACTTTGTGCCATAATTACAGGTCCAGGAAGGTGGAAGAGGATGAATATGAAGATTCATCATCAAACCAAAAGTGGGTCTTGGCTCCAAAATCCCAAGACACTGATGTGACTCTTATCCTCAACAAGTTGCTAAGAGAATATGATAAAAAGCTGAGGCCAGATATTGGAAGTGAGTGTTGATGTTTGTTATTCCAATAGAAAATATACCGTGAGATATATTCTTTAAGTTTTTACTTTAAATAATGATAAATTTAAAGGAAATTGCAAAGATAGTGCAGTCACATAATTTATGACTGTAGTATCATGTCAAAACGAAGAGATTGACACTGTTACAATGTGTGTGCATGGTTTCATGTTGTCTTATCATATGTAGATTTGTGGAAGGACCACTGCAATCAACATACTGAACTATTTTGTCGTCATAAAGATCCCACTCCTGCTGCTCCTGTAGTCATGCCTACCTCTCTCCTCCAAAATTCCTAACCCCCGTCAGCCACTATTTGTTATTTCTGTATTTTTGTCATTTTTAGAATGTCACATCCATGCAGTCATTCAGTATGTGACCTTTTGAGATTGGCTTTTTTTCCCTCAGCAAAGTGATTTGGAGATCCATTCAAGTTGTTGTGTGTATTCATAGTAGTGTGTTCTTTCTTATTACTACGTAATCATCCATGGCAGCAATGTACCACAGTTTGTTTATCCACTCACCTCTTGAGGAACATTTTTGTTGTTTCCAGTTTTTGTCCATTACAAATAAAATGACTGTGTGTATTTGTTTACAGGTTTCTGTGTGGAAATAAGATTTTATTCTCTGGGGTGAATGCCCAGGAGTATGATTGCTAAGCCATACGATAAATGTCTGTTTAGTTTTTTTTAAGAAACTGTCAAACTTTTTTTCCAAAGTGTCTGTACCATTTTCTGTTCCCACCAGCAATTTTTGAGAAATTTAGTTTCTCTGTCTTCACCAACAATGTCACTATTTTTATTTTAGCTGCTCTAATAGGTATAAATCTACTAGATTGATACCTCATTGTGTTTTGATTAGTATTTTCCTGATGGTTAGTGATATTGAGTTCCCTTTATGTGTGTATTTGCCAACATTATGTCCTCTTCATTGAAATGTCTCTTCATATTGGTTGCCCTTTAAAAATTATTTTATTTTATTTTATTTTATTTTATTTTATTTTATTTTATATTTTATCTTATTTTATTTTTGTTGTTCCGTTATTGAGTTCTTCATATAATCTAGGTGTGATTCCTTTGCCAGATATAGTTTGCAGATGTTTTTCTCAATATGTAGCTCGTCTTTTCATCTTCTTAATAAGATCTGTCACAGAGGAAAATTTTTTAATATTGATTAAGTTCAGTTTATTGATTTTTAATCTTTTATGGAACATGCTTTTGGAGTTGTCTAAGAACTCTTCATGAAGCCCCTGTTCCTCAAGATTTTCTCCTTTGTTTTTTTCTAAAATTTTTATAAATTTATGTTTTACATTTAATTCATTATCTGTCTTTATATAAAATCAGGGTGTGAGGTTTAGAGCTAAGCTTCCTTCACCATTTTTTTTTTTTTTTTTGGTATGGATATCTAGTTCCTCTATCACCATTTATTAAAAAGACTGTCTTTTCTCTGTTGAATTGCATTTACACATTTGCCAAAATCAACTAGTGTAGGCTATTTCTGGGTTCTCTATTTTGTTCTTTTCATCTTTGTGTCTATCACTGTGTCAATACCCACAGTCCTGGTTACTATAGTTATATAGTAAGTCTTAAAATTGGGTAGATTAGTTCAGCCTCTTTATTCCTCTCTTTAAAAATTATTTTGACTCTTATAATCCATTTGTTTCCCATATGAATTTTAGAATTACCTTGTCTATATCTAGAAAAATCTTTAAGTCTCTGTATTAGTTTTGGAAAAATGCTGTCATTACTATGTTGAGTATTCAGACCCACAAATGTGATATGTTATTCCATTTTAGATCTTCCTAAATTTTTTACATCTAGTGTTTTACAGTTTTTAGTATACAAGTCCTGAATATATTTTGTTATATTTTCCCCTTAAATATTTCATGCTTTTGGAGTGATTACAAATGGTACTGTTTTTACAATTTTCTTTTTCCCTGTGTCATTGCTAGATATACAGAAATATAGTTATTATTTATATGTTGATTTTGTGTTCTCTGACTTGCTGAAACTTTTAGGAAGTTTTGTGTGTTCATTTTTTGATATGTTCCTTGGGATTTTCTGTGTACACCATCATGTCATCTGAAAGTTTTATGTCTTGCTTTCCAATCTGTATGTCTTTTATTTTATTTTATAGCCTTATTTCACTGGCTAGAACTTCCAACACTCTGTTGAAGAGCAATAGTGTGAGTGGACACCTTGCTTTATTCCAGATCTCAGAGGAAAGGCATTCAGTCTTTTATTATTAAATGTAATGTTACCTAGAGTTATTTTGTATATGTTCTTTATCAAACTGAGAGAGTTCCCTCTATTTCTGGTTTTCTGAAAGTTTTTTTTTCTTTTTATCATGAATGATGTTGAATTTTGCCAAATTATATTTATATATATTAGACACTTAATATGGTGAATTAGGTTGAGTGATTTTCTAATACTGAATCAGTCTTGCAACCCTAGAATAAGCCCCACATGGTTATGTGTCTTTTTCAAAACCTCTGTTTATATATTGCTAAATTTTATTTGCCAATATTTTGGTAAGAATGTTTGCATCTCTATTCATGAGGAACATTGGTCTGTAGTTCTTTTTCCTTTTTTTTTTTTTTTTTTTTTTTTTTTTTTTTTTTTTTTTGACAGTCTTTGGTTTTGGTATCAGGTAGCACTAGCTTCATCTGTTTTCTGGAAAAGATTGTGTAAAAATTTGTGTTAACTACTCATTTAAATATTTGATAGAATTCTCCAGTGATACTGTCTGGGTCAGGAGATTATTTTTCTGGGATTTTTGTCATTACAAATTAATTTCCTTAATAGTTATAAGTCTCTTCAACTTATATTAGGTAAGTTATGATGGTTTATGCTTTTCAAGGAATTGGTCCATTTCCTTTAAGATGTTAATTTATGTGTGTAGAATAGTTTCTGATATTCCTTTATAAACCTTTTAATATCTTTAGGGCCTATAATATATCCTTTGCTTCATTTCTGATAACAGTAATTTGTGTCATCTTTATTTCTTCTTTGTCATCTTGCTAGAGATTTATTTGATTGACCTTTTCTTATTTATTTATTTATTATTTATTCTAAATTTATTTATTATTTATTCTAAATGTAATTTATTAGAATCTCCTTTTTGTTTCATTGTTTTTCTCTATTGTTTTTCTGTTTTCAATTTCATTAAGCTTTGCTTTTATTTTTATTATTTGTTTTTTCTGCTTTCTTTGAGTTTGGTTTACTCTTCTTCTGTTTTGATGTAGCACTTAGTTTCTTGACATGAGACTCTTCTTTTCTAATCTAAGCAAGGGTACTTTAAATTACCCTCACTGCACTAGTTTAGCTGTATCTCACAGATTTTGGTATGTTGGACTTTCATTGTTTATTAAGTTCAATGTGTTTCTTTCTCTTGAGTTTTTTTCCCCCCTTAACTCATAGACTATTCGGAAGTGTGTTTTTAGTTTCCAAGTGTTTGGAAGTTTTCCTGTTACCTCTTACTGATTTCTAGTTTGATTCCATTGTGACCAGAGAATATACTCTATATGAGTTAAATTCTTTTGATTTTGTTAATGTTTGATGTATGGCCCAGAATATGGTCTATTTTGGTGAATGTTCCATAGGCACTTGAAAAGAATGTGCATTTTGCTGTTGCTGAATGGATTGGATCCTGTTGTTTGGTGGTATTGTTGAGTTCTGCTATATCTTTGCTGATTTTCTGTCTAGGTTGTTTTCTATCAATTGTTTTGATAGATTAATGATAGATTGATTTTAAAAGTAGATTCTCATCCAAGACCAAGACAAAAGTGGTGTGTTTGGCCAGGAGAGGAATGCATACAGTTGTTGGTACAGGCCTGTACCATATTCTTGGTGATGATCAGAGAACATGGGGATTGTGGCAGACACATTTTTCATAGGATGAACCAAAACTGTAGCTTATTTATTCTTCTCCATGGGGCTGAGTTTCATTTAGAGTCCAGCAGCTTGCTAGCTTGCATACTACCCCAGCTCTTTGTTCCTCTGGTTTTCCAAGTTTGAGGCTCAGGTGTCCAATTTATCAGTAGCAGGACATAGAATTACACTGGTTTCAGTAGGCATAGAACATCAAAACCCTTGTGATGTAGTGTGCAGAGAGTTTGGAGATACATACCCAGTGCATTATTGGATCATTCATGTCATCTTTGTGTGTTTCTGTTACCTCTTCTATACAATGAAAGAAGGGCACCAAATTACTCATAAACTTCCTTGCAGCTTTAAGACATTTATTCAGTGAGCAGTACATCTAAATTACCATTGCACAAGGTTCATAAATTCAATTGTCACCACATTTTCCCCTTAAATGAAGGGTCTATGCAATGTGAAGATTGCAGTAATTCTGCATTAATATGGAAAGAGAAGATTGAGATAATGGTGCTAATTTCCTCATTAGTTGTCAGACACTGTGGTTGGCCCTAGAGCAAAGATAAATAAGACTTGTTCCTTGCTGTTCTGGGTAAGTATAATCCTTTGCTTATCTTGTGTTACAGTATAGCACTGCACCTTCAATCTATGGTAGACACCACATTTGTCTTCAGAAGTGGAAAATTGGACATGGGTAGAAAGTGGGTGAGTTCAGCTTCCAACCCAGATCTCTGACTATAGCTAGATTACCTAGCCACATTACTAGTTGTAGAAAATGTCAGGCAATCCTATTAAAAAACAGAGAATCCCTTCTACACACACACACACACACACACACACACACACACACACACACACACACCAAAACACTCAGAAGGGGATATATTAAGGCAAAAGGCAAGCACTATTCACAACTCTGGAGATTTTATTTTTCCATTATGAACATAAGGAATTTTGAATTTTCCAAGTGAAACAGCATAATGCACATAAAGGAAGAATACTTTTTTAGATGGCAACTCTTCTAAAGCCTCATGTCATCAGAAGGGCTCTGTGGTTTTTGAGTGAAAGATTTTGAACTGTAAACCAGGATACACATCTTTTGGTCTA